ACTCTTTCCAGTTTGACTCATACAATTAAACTCATTCTAAACTTTTTGAGATTTTATCTTCAACAGTAAAGGGGGGAAAAGAAGTCTTTTATAACAGCAGAGTACTCTCAAAGTTGACTGTTTCTTCAAGAGAAACACTAGTAAGTTGAAGTGACAGAAGATACTGGAAGTTAGCAACAGGCACTGGATACTGTCGCAAATCACAGAGAACCTTCTGGGAAGCTACAAGGCATCTCAGCTTGGCCTGATTGAAAGCAACCCATCTGTCTTCCCATAAATCTGTCTCCAGTGCATAAAAAGGCATTTAAATTTGTGCTCTGTGATACCAAGAAAAGACTCACAGCCAGGCAAGAATTCAGTGTTCTTCTCGCATAAGCACAGGTGAATAATACTTTACTAGAACCATAAATGAGACTTCAGTAAAAGACATTTTTTCAAGTGAGTACACCAACAAGATTATAAATCCAAACAGTTCCCCATCCCTATGATAACACCAAAATTATTACAAATATATTTCAAGCATTAATAATTTAAAAGAGTAATCATTTGAGGTTAATGGTGTTTAGTACATACAAACCATGAGGGACTAACTACATGACAGTCTTGGGCAGCAAACTAGAGAACTTTCTTGACTGATGTGCATTCCTTGTGGAGAATTTGTACTGAATGTTGTGATACACTCATATAAACCAATTCCCTGGAGAGGCAGCCCAGTGGTAAAAGCAGCACACTGCATGCTATAAAATAAGGATTTTTGACTGTAGCAGAAAAATCACTCCTTCAACATTTATTCTTTTTTTACAGTGTGAAATGGGTAAGGCTGCAAAGCAACCAAAATGTGTCTGTCTGAACCATGTCTGTCTATCCCCACATCTTCTAAAGTCCTCCAACATCCTCCCATGTATTTTATCAATACAGAGGAATATTTGAATCACAGTGATGAGCTTTGGACATACAGCAGAACCAAAGGCTGGAACTGCATTTCAGTCCTGGATCATACCACATTGCTGGCATTACTCTAATAGCAGGCAGGGTTGCCTAGAAAAAAAGCTACTTTTTTCCAATAATTAGATAATATTTTGTGAAATACTAATTTTGTCTTGCACCAGCCTATTACCTCATGTCTGGACTCCTCTGTCATTTGAAAGGCCACAGTTTGTTCAGCTAAGGCACTGATGAGCAGACCCAACGCAAAAAAATGCCCCTAGAAATTTGCCCATAGCTCGTTACTCTTACATTGGCAGGTGACACAAAGCAGTCTGTACATTCAGCAACACACAGGCAGAGTTTTTGTATGTATTTAAGCTTCCTATTGTCTAATCATGCAATTCTGCAGCTTAGCTGCTCACCTGCCTCCTGTAAAGATGCAAAACAGGATCCTGAATGACCTAATGAAAAAGGTCACATAAAACACATCTTCAATGCTTTCTAAACAAAGTACACCTCTAAGTGAATTCAGCATCAACAGAGAGTAGACAATATAAAAATACATTTTATATCTTTATGATATGTAACCATCAGTTTCAAAATCTGGGGTGGATGATGCCATGGCTAAGTTCAGATTTTAAAACAATTCTGAAAAAATGAAGTGGTATCACAGATAATGAGAATCTCTACTTAGCTGACGTGGAGAAATAGAAAGCTGGCAATTTGTAGTAATGAAAGTAGAAGTGAATAGTAAGACTATTGTTCATTTTATAAAATGAAGGTAAAAATTTTAATGGTCACTATATTAGACCTTTTTGATGGTCTGAAGAGCAGAAATTGAAACACAGAGAATCAAGTGTCCGTTTGCATGGAACAATCAGTTGCAAGGAGTATCTTGCATAAGATGGGATGAGATGAGTCAGCTAACGAACACATGAATTAAGAAAAACATGAGGTAGCAAGTTTATCCTAAAACAATGACTGAGATTGAGGTGGTAAGTCAAACATTCCTATGTATGTTCTTTCATTCTACAAAAGAACAAGGAAAGCTCAGTTTAAATAAAATAATTAAAGCCAAAAGAAAATTAGTATATGGATTTTAAAGGTTTAAAAGAGTACAAGGCACTTCTTCCAGTTCTTACTTCCACACCAAAAGCAACTTGCCTGAGAGATACAGTTAGGCCATAAGGCCTTATTGGTTAAGCAATATAGGTGAATGATTCTATGAAAATATAAACAGCATTCTGTCAACAAGCTGCTTGATATGGAATCATACAAAGGAAATCCCGAGTTTGTACATACTCAGTTCTTTATGTTCATAAGACACTGTAGAAACTGATCAGGAAAAGTTAAAGGAGGCAAAACTAACAGCTACAAACAGGCTATTTTGGAGAGATGTACCTGCATTTCAGGTTATGAGTGTTGGAGGTTTGAGAGATAAATGTCACACAGAATTCTGTAAATTTACCCATTCATGCATTTGGAGGTCAGAAACAGCTATCAAGTCACAACAATAGCACCTCTAAGAGGCACAGATGTGAATAACCAGAATATGCTATTCTAATAAAGGACAATTCCACACCCCATAATGCCTTATCTGGAAACAACTATCAGAAACCATGAAGAAATATGCCTTAGGCTACAACATTTAGAATAATGTTGTGAAGGGAACAGGAGCTACAAGGAATGTTCTTCGGCTTGCCTGAACTCTATAGCCAGCATTTTGTCAAACTAGAGATCTTTCTGAAATTTGGAATCCTCTGGTATTCATGTCTGATTTTTATTATTGTAATCTTGCTGTTTTGGGCAGAACACTAATGTCTGACAAACACTTGTGGCTCTTACGATCAGGGTTCTCAGGTTTGATTTCAAGGGCATTATTGGAGTATAGGAGTCATTCAGAGAGTTCTTTCCAAACTATACAACTTACACAAATGACTTTAAAAGTAATTCTGGTTTGGACTTGTACCATATTTTGCATATAATATATCTAGTAGTTTGCTTCTGATTTTTAAGCACTAACTTTTTGATCCTTATACCATTTCTACCGCTTGTACAACTAGAGTGGTCACAAAGGCAACCAAGGTGGTATTTAATTAAGGTAAAAATAAAGTCAAGATGGATTCTTTACTACTGACCTGTAGTGATAACCCTACACTCAATGGAAGATAACATATCTTTGCAGTTTAGCAGCCTCTGCTGTTACAGATTGTAAAACACTCCTGGAGGACACTATATCTACATCTTTTCACCTATGTATTACATGCACAATAGATACTGTGTCACCATAGCAAAGAGAAAAGTGGGAGCAGGAGGCATCTCCAAACAGACTTTTATAAATTGAACTTTTATCTGCTCCTTCTAAATGGGAACAGAAAGTCACTTGAGAAATTCTTTCTCCTCCCACTCTTGATTTCATCAGTGCCACATGTTAAGTTTGAGGAGCAAGTAAAGATATTTGGCTTTCTTACAAATAGAAAATAATGTCATATTGTAGATGGTGAGCTGGCACTGCAGCTAGACCATATGTGACACTACCAAACAAGGGCCCGATCCTGCAGAACACTGCAACTTGCAAGGCTTCAGTGCCCCAGCCAATCTGTCCCTCAGCCTTCACTGAGCTGAAGACAAACCAACGTAAGAAATCCAAGGTCTCCCTCACACACGTATCCTACGTTAAGATTTGCATCCCTGCTTTAAAGGCACTGTCCCTGCAAAGGATAAGGATCTCAGGTGGGCATATCTGTGAGTTCTGAATGGAATTCTAGTAAAAATAATGATGCATCAAGCATCTGGAAGAAAAAAGAAAACAAAACCTAACAACCTTCTAACATCACAGAAAAACAAAAAACTCACAGAATGAAAACTAAGCTGTGAAGCATGACGAGATACATCCAGTCCTCTATTAGATTTCGTCTCTGACACAGTAAACAAATCTGGAAAATTTTGATTTCATTTACTCACCTCAAGAAAGAAGTTGACCAGGTATGGATCCTGTTTCAGCTTTGCACATACTATACAGAGAAACTGGATTTCTTCATTTTCTGTTGGTGTTGCCAGAACTTCACCACACAGCCTGATTAATTTCTGTCACAAAGAAAAGTGAACAATTAAGACAGAGAGTAATGTATAACTTTTTCTGGGAACAATGGACTGAATTCTTTTTCTATATATGTACTGCAGTGATGTATGATTATTGACTTGAACATTTGCTCCAGACTTAGATTGCTTTGAACAAGATTTCTTTATTCCTGATGACTCGCACTGCAGTGGCAGTTAAAAGTCTCTAATCATCAATACATTAAAACTGATGTTGCACTTGAGCAGTTTCTTTAACACACTTGACAATGGAAGAATTGAGGATATCATTAAGTACAGTAGAATAAGAGAAACCTGTCATGCAAAAATACAATTTATTCCAGCTGTGAACAGTACCTGCACTGGCCTATGCACATTTATGTGGGGAAGAAGAGGTTGCCGTATTCTTCCAAGAAGTTTTGTGTAGAAAGCCAAAACTTGCTGTTTCATTCCTGGAGGACACTGAAACAAAAACAGATGAGCAATAACAAAAATATAAAAAATATGGAGAGAAACACAGATTCAAATTTGTCATTCAAAATAGCTAATTAAATAGCAATGATTTATCCAAAAGTACTTCTGAAAAACCCATCATCTGTTAACACATTACTTTTTTTTTATATTAACAGAGATCAACAAAAAAATGTTGCATCTCATTACTCTTTTCTTTTTCAAATTAATCATACTTTCACTTAATTGCTCTACTGCAGAATTGTACCAGTCTTTCCAGGAAATATTCCTTATTAATACAATGATAAGGAGAAATTAACTTTGAATTAATTTGCTACAGGTCAGCAGTATTTTACAGTATTGTGCCACAAAATGCTGTTATTATGATGTTATTACCATCAGGGTGCATCTCCAGTAATGTAAAAAGAATGATTGCTGCAAATGGATATTACTTTTTTTTTTGCAACAGATCTTTGCAACATCTTGCAAGCACCGAACAGTGTGTTTACTTCAGATGTATCAACTCACAAGTGGCAAAGTATAAAGCCAGGCTGTGCAAGAATTGCTTGCACAGGCGTTATTTGCATGAGTGCAAAATGACTTCTCTCAGTTCTTAGAAACATACTACTAATTACCCACTTCACATATGTCACCATTTCATCTTGGTTTCTTGACAAAGTTTATAGATTACTGAGCAAGCTGTATTTCTGAGCAAGTATTTTCAATAGATCAGGTATCTTAGCTTTCTGGTAGGACAGTTGGTGTAGTAAGAGGAACTGTAGAGCTCTGATCCTTCCAGAGCAAGGAACATCCCAGGCTCAGACAGCTAGTACTCTACATTGTCTATATAAGTGAAATCAAGTAGATTAAAAACTCATGACAACATATAAAAGACTGACTGAGCAGGAAACCAGAGAGCTCCATTTGTCCTTGCACAAGATACATTGTGCTCCCCAACTGCATCTGCATCATGATACAAAGTTCTAGTACCAGAGCTCCCAAGTTGTTCACCCCATGATCCCTCCAACCCCATACATTTCAGCTCCTAAGTCTATCACAAAAGACAGCAACAAGAATGCACCAAGACCATGCAGCTAATTTCATGCGTGCCACAAAGCAGACATGAGAAGAATCAGACAATAGTGCCAAGGGCTGAGTTCATGCCAAAGATTCAGATGTGAAAGCTTTCTGGGGATTAATGCTTTCTGACACTGAAGTCTTCCTCAGCAATAAATCACCACATTCAAAAAATGAAAGCAAAATTTGTATTTAATACAGCACTTTTCACCTAAGCATCTCCCAACAGTTAAAAAAGGACAGAGAGGGATAATATGGTCTTGTAGAGGGCAGCAGAATTCTAGACTGAACAAAAATGTTTCTCCTATTTCCAGCTTTGCAGTCACTACTACCAGAGTGGTGAGGAACAAATCTCAGGGTTCTGCCTTGTTTAGCATCTCACTGGTTGCCTCAGATCATTCTTGTAAGAGACTGTTAGCTGTAGTCTGTTGGCAACATAAGCAAACAGCTATATACTAGAGTTCAGTGTCCCACACTACCACCTACTGTAGAACTTCAGTCCCTACCGCAATTAGGAGCTCAGACAAAAGACAATCTTCTCTGCAATAGAAGCACATACATCAGCTTTTCCCAGTGTGTAGAGTGTCTCCAAAATCTTGTGATGCAGCAAATATTCCATGCATGGTCCTGTTTCTCCTGATTCTCTCTCATTTTCTTCTTGAACTAAAATATCCAACATCTGCTCCAGGTGAGAAGGAATGTTGGTATCAGTCACAGGAGCTTTGTCATCTAAATAGAAGAAATGTGCAATTAAGAATTATTAAAATATTGTCCTCATTTTTCCTAAGCTCAGTTCTAAATTTAAGATTTAAAAACATGAGCACTCATTTAAAGCATTTTATAAACAGCGTGTAAGTTTTTTAACATGACTTTAATTGAATTTTCAGAACCTTATCTGGAAATGTAAACTGGAAAATGCATTAGGTAGAGGTCTAACCTTGCAATGGGGAAAAGGTGAAATGCCACATTTCAAACATGCACAATGTAGTCAAAAAGGAAAACTTGTACAGCCAGAAGCCAAGCTTAGGGAGAAAAAGGTTCAGCTCTCAATCTTCTGGTTAGTATCCACCCTGTCTTGCCAACCTCCTCTTTGACTCTTCACACAGTATTCTGAAATCTAGAAACTGTCTCTAACACGGGCTTAATTTGCAGCTGATTGGTTCCTTTACAGACCAGATAACTACATAAATGGTTTTTTTTTTTTAATAGCAACAAAGAAAATCCAAACTTAATGTTTATTCTTCCTATTTTTTTGATTTGTCTTTTATACCTTCTGCAATGACAGCATTCTGTCCAAATTTATGAAGGAAGGGGTAAGACTGATTTCTTCCATAAAGTCATGAAGTGCTGTGGGTTTAATGCTAAAGCAGGGGCAGTTGGCACTAATATGTGGTAGAACATGTCCACATGTGGAGATTTTCCTTTTCACTTTTTCAGGTAAATTCTGCTTGAACAACTAGGGAAATGGTTACTACTTCTTATGCAATAACCTAAAAATAACTGTCACTTGCATGCAATTGGCAACAAGATCACAAAGGAAAACTGCCATGTCAGAGTGATTTGGGTCTCTGTCACAACCTCCAGTTAGCCTAGAGTGTTTTGCTTGAATTTCCTAGGCACAATACTGCTCCCACTGCAGAGGACAGAAATATACCCACCGAGTGGAAAATTGTTTTTCACAAGACTTTTTAAAGCCTGGGAGAGAGGTCAGTTTTTATGCTGCACCACATAATCACAGGTATCAGTTTTCCCCTACCCCCCTGTCATTTCTACCTTAGGAAACATCACATACCGTTCCAAAAGATGGGCATTTAGAACCAAGGGTCGAGTTTCAGCTTGTAAGAGTAAATATTGACATAAACAAGATCACCAGTCCCAGAAATGAACACAGGTTCAACAACTACTCTAGCCAAAACGCAGAACTACTAAGCTGAGGAAAACATGGTAACATTCACTTTAAAACTTGATAGCTTAATAGCTAGGACAAAAAAAAAAAAAGTTTAAATGTCATGTAACCGTTGTAGGAAACCAGGGAAAAGTTTAAGAAAAAGCAACTACAGCAATATTTCATCAGAATACCAATGTTAAAACAATCAGAATAAGGTCTGCATAAGTTTTAACAAAAGGTGTTCAAATCTACTCCCAAATGCACTTTTCAGAGCTCTGTTATCAAAAGACTTTTCATGGAGACAAGACACTGAACTAAAAAATATCTAATACTGAGCTAAAAAGAATTTATATATGTCTGGTAAAATCTATGACCACAAAATTACTTTTGTTAAAATCTTGGAAAGAAAAAGAAACCCCCTGATGCAAAACAATTTAAAGGTTAACAGCAGGCACTATATTTCTGTAGCTGTCTATTTAAACAGAACACACGAATACAGAGATTGGGTCAGATGTGAAAAGGTACAATTCTCTCTGTGGGTACTCATGAAAGAAGACCTTCCCCCCAGTCATTTTTCATGTCTACCTTCGGAGATGGAGGCACACAATCTTTTTAATTACTAATAATTATTGCTGGCATTTTGATAGAAAACATAACATTTTAGTATTTCTTAAACTTTACTTTTTAACAACACTGAAATGGGGATTCTAGTTTTCACAATCAAGAGACAAAACCACAATATTTCTTCTGTTACCTGATGTCTCTATGTAGTAATGGGTGATTGCTTTCCAGTGGTAAACAAAATCTTCTTGTAATGGAAGGGAAGGTGCAAGCTATGGGAGAAAAAAAAACACCAAACAAAAAACCAGTTAGGAATTAAATAAACACATTTCCTCAGATTAAACTGAATTTCATCTTATACTTGGAAGTAAACCGCTGCAGACTAATGTTACAATTCTTACTCTGTGCTCTTTTACCTTTAACAAGAACTACATACATTATTCATGGCATGAGCCCAATGTCATACTGCCTAGCTCGTGAACATCAGTAATAATCTGTGATGTCTCTGGGACCAGACAATCTATCTGAAGAAACAAAAGGAATTGCACATACAACAAAGCAACACCAGAAATGTAGGTTTGAATTGTTTAGATCTCAGAGTTTTATCTTGTAGGAAAAAAAATGTGGTCTTTTACATCTGATCTTGATGCCATCCTCCCTTTTTGTACACTGCTCTCCTTCCTCCCTCTGCTCCCTTAAAACTTCCCATTAGCTGTTTCATACAGTTTTTGCCATTATTTTTTTTCCACTTAACCACAACATTTAAAAAACTGGGCCCATCCCCAGAGCTTGACAGTTTTAGGGTTTTTCAACAAACATTTCTTCTTTCATTTCTGCAAGAAAAGGAAGTTTTTTCTTTTCTGGAGGAATTTGGGATGGCTGGTTGGGTGTGACTGGCACCCAGGAATAACATGCTAGAAAAACAAAACACAGCCTCCCATCCAATCAACATCAGTACTGCTCCTTCCTCACCAAGCTTGAGATTTGGGTCCCTGCAGCCCGTTACACCACAGACACAAACTGCTACACCACAGGCAGCGTGTCATAACAGAAGGACCACGACCACTCTACCACAGTGCTCTCCAAAGTGAGAGTTGAGGCAAACACTGAATTTGTGACCACAGTATAAGATATTCAGAGCTGGTAAAATCTGGAATCCTATAGGGGAAACTCCCACCACTCAGCAGATCATAAGAGGGTCTGGTTTTACCGAGGCATAATCCTATTTACTTGAGGCTTTTTTTTTTGACACTCAAGTCCTCAGATTATTCTTTTAGAGGCAAACCTGAAATAAAGGATTTTCACTTGACATGATGGTAGCAATGAGACCTGTGGGCAAACAGAAAGAGTCCTATGCATAAGACGGGGTGTCCATTTCAGAAGGGTGAGGAGCTGAACCACCCCAACAAGCTATGGAGTCCAATCCTTCACAGAATCACAGAATGGCTGATGTTGGAATGGACCTCTGGAGTTCATCTGGTCCAACTCTCCTGTTCAAGAATGACCACCTTGAGCTGGTTGCCCAGGATCATATCCAGAGGGCTTTTGAATATCTTGAAGGATGGACATTTCATGACCTCTGCAAGAAACTGTGTCAGGGCTCAGTCACCCTCACAGTGCAGAAGTTCCCCTGCCCTGAAGCCATAGATGCCACATTTGAGAGTAATAACTCTGACTTCCTCTAGTGTATCCTCAGAGGGCCCACAAAGTGCTGAGCTGTCTCAGTTCTTGGACAAACAGAAACACAGGGCTTGGACTGTGTGTATACTCCTCACTGGGGAGTGTTGGTCTCTGAGAAAGCCTTGGGAGTTTTCCAAAACAGTCTTTTCTTTCCCTTGAAGTCAATGACATTTAAATTTATCTTGGTAACAACATAAAGTCCAGTCTAGGAGCAGCATGCCCTGCCATGATAAAATTGGAATGCTAATTGTTAATGACCCTTTGCACACAGGACTTCGAAATGCGAGACATTACAGCAGTGGTGCTTGGTAACTATCTGGGCCTGCATCCTGTGTGGAAACGCGCCCTCACAAATGGCAACTGGGAAACCAAGCTGATGCTGTTATCCACTCCCTGACAGTCTGGGGACTCCTGAAGTCTTCCATACTGCCACAGCTGGGCACTGAGGGCAGCACTTTGGCACACCAGCTACCATAGAATAAACATCAGGACACTGCACACCACTGGTTTAGTTTACTGTGGCACTTGCTAGGTAACTGAACTTCAGAATAACTGAGCAAACTGAAGATGGAGCATATGGTATTTTGTATCATGCTTTGTATGTCACACTTGCAGCTGTAGTTGTGTATTTCAAGCAGTGTAATGATTATTTTGCATCTTTCTGTAATAAAACTATACTGAAAACTTGACTCTGAATGACAAACAGCACAGAGACTACTTTTAAGGAACACCAGCTCTTTCAGACCACTCTATTTCCAAGTAACACGTGATAGATAGCATTAAAGATTTATCCTTGACTGATGTGATTTTCCTCTCCACTTCTTCTAGCCTCATCTGCCTCAAGATGAATTTAGTGCCTCTGAGCAGTGCCAGGAAAAGGATTTCACTTCTCAACACTGTCAATAATTTATCTACTATGGGAGAGAACTGTGGATACAGACATTTCCCCTCCCAACAAATGCCTCCAGGGACTCCTCTCAGATGTGAAAAGGTAATTCAGAGGCAAGTCCTGTCCTTTTTAATTAAACTATTCAGTGATTTCACAGTCTTCTCTGATCAAGGATTGCAAGACAAGAGATACCAGTGATACCATTAGCACGTGTGTGCACCTGTGCATGTGTCCTGCGTGCCTGTTGAGAATACACCAGCAACCTCGCCACCAGCTGGAGCTGGACCTGGTGATACAGATCTAGGGGAACTTCACCTGCATTGGGCTACCACACACAGCAGCTCCTAACAATAAAGAAAAACTGTACTTCTTCACTTGTTCAGCTGAAGTACCCCTGACCCCAGATTCCTCTTCCTGATGTAGACGGACCTAGTATAAATCTGCTTTTTACATTAGGTTATATTTAACAGAGTTGTAACTAGCAGTGCTATGTATTATTCTGAGAGACGTCATTCACTGACAAAAAAGTGAAAAAAAAAAACCAACCCTACTAGGTTATTCAGACACAAATTCAAGTTAAAGACCAAGACTAAGATACCAGCTTCTACACAAAGTGCAGCACTTGAAAGCACCAGAAAAATGTAAGCTCCCAAACACTTGGTTGAGATGCTTTAACACTCCTCGGACAGGTAATTCTAGGATCAAGTTGTGGTTTCTATTTTAGGATTAATCATTAGCTACCAGCTGAGATGAAATGTATGTTACTGTTGCCAATCTGAATTATTGCTCTTTTGTAAAAGTACACACACTGGCACAAAGATTCTGAAGCAAAACAAAATTCCTTGTGAAAGCCATTAATTCCTGCTATTTGTCTAATTTGAAGGAATTACCTTAAAAGTGTAGTTATTTCCCACAGTTATATTAATTCATTTTGATATAATTACATGTGTTCTTCCCAATTTTGAGTTCCTAATCCCAAAGTGAAGTTCTCCTCCTTTGGGGAAAAAAACCCCAACATCTCAGAGACTGCGATGTGGGTGCTGGTGTATCTAGTAGCCAAAACTCACTGAACGCTACTGAAAACCAGCCCACGCGAGCAGACATTGATGAGCTCTTCCACCCAGCCCTCAACTCCAGCAGTCAAGCTTCCTGGGAGGGAGGGAGGGAGGGAGGGAGAGAGGGTTCTCACTTATGAGCTAATCTCAACACCTGCTGCCTTATCATTCGGGTGACTGTACGTTACTAATGATCGAAGCCCTCTCCTTCCAGAAGTGCTGTTCTCAGAAGAATTATAGATCTTTGACCAGAACTACACTATGCTCATTATAAAATCTGTCCAAAATATGATTCCATGTAGTTTTCAAAAATATATAACAGAATTTGTGTTTACACAGGGGAAAAAAATAACATCAGGAGCAAAGAAACTGAAATGCTGGGGTTTGAACCCCAAGCCCTGAATTAAGGTTGACATATGGGTGATTCCTGTGGGAAACCTTGGTTCATTGTTTATAGCACCTGTTGTGGGCCAAGTCACATCTTTTGTGGGATCTTTGGGGGTGGTGTCGTTTATGTACCAGCTGATTGATCTGTTTGTACCCCCAGTGATCATTCATGCAATGTCCTTCTTGTCTACAATACAGTCTGCATATTGGTTCATCTTCCTGCTGGTGCTATCATTTTTGTTGGGCCTGGTCATTGCCAAAACAGAAACCTATAAGTATTCAATATTTGACAGTAATTCCTTTGTGCATGTAAAAATCATTGCCATATTTTTCATGTATGCTTTTCAGAAGTGCAATTCAATACTGGAAAGAATGGAAACAACGGAAGCTGGGGATATCCCTCAATATCTTCTGGATAAGTTCATAAAGTAAACAAAAGAAAAAAAAGAGTAACAGGTACCATCTGGTCAGATGCCTGAGTGAAAAAAGCAGAAACTGTGTCAAAGAGAAATGGAGGAGAAATGCACATACACTGCCCTGACTGAAACAGGGAAAACTATAGCACTTGCTCAATAGTTTTCTTCAGTCTTACCACTTTCCTATTGTGAATGTTTGCTCTGAAGGAAAATCTGAAAAAGGACTAATGCCTGAAGGTTTACTTTATTTCTTCAGTTGATGAATGCACAGAGTTTATAATGGTCACTGCTTTCACATATAAAATTTAAGACTGCACGGGCTTGCAAGCCATGCATTAAATTTTGTCATTGTAATTTGTTAATAACAGCACAACATTAAACAATCAGTGAGGTCATTACATCACATAAAGTGGGTTCAAGAAGAACAAATCTTGTTCTGAGCAGTTATGCAGCTAATGATTTTGAAGCAGTACACATAGCAAGTGACTCAGATGCTTTTAAAGCTCAGTTTCACCTTAAAACATGAAGAGAAAGAAGCTACTTAAAAGCACGCTAAGGTACTAGTGTGAGAGGTACAATGGAATAATAGGCTCTTAGAGAGGGGACCCAAAAATGCACAGCAGACAGAAAAATCTAAATTCACTCCCAGATACCAAGAAGGGGACACAAAAAAAATCTTGACTGACAGCAAGTTGCAAAATTCAAACCAACCAAAATAATATTTTCCTGCTCAAAGTACACAGCTCAAAAAAAATCCTTTTGAGTTGACTACTATGATGAAACACCTCCTGAAAGCCCAAATCACAAACCAAAGGCAAAACACAAACAAAAGTTCTTTGAACACA